TTTTTTATTATTATGAAAGTCCGTTGCTCACTGGCTCTGAATACACATACAGACAAACCACGGGTCACGGGAGGGGTGGGATGTTGATCAGTACTGGCTTGGGATGGGCGCCATCACGCGTCTCAACCAATGAGAGCATTTGGGGTGGGCCTAAGACTGCAGCAGCGCTCACATGAAGTGCTCACGACTTCATAAGTGAGAAACAGGCAGTTTCCGATAGCACGTGAAGACAGCAGAGAAGTGCTCTCGCTCAGCATCACAATCACACATGTGCTGCCGTCACAGCCTCCTGGGACGTTCCTATGTGCGTCATTTTGGTTGTAATAAAATAAACACAGATTTGTATTTCTTTTTTCACTTCCAGACAAAGACAAAAAGCTTTTATATAGAGCTTGTGAAACAAGACAGCGTAGGAGCTGCATTAGTTGTGTAATTGATGCTTTCATTATGTATTTTATCATTCCGGTGCTACCAAGTAAAATGATGAGAAATGTAGATTGGTTGGCTCTCATTAACTGCCTTAAATGAGTTCCATTTTCCAGGGGGGTTGCTAGATATAAATGCCATCTGGGGTTTAGCACATTAGTGCTGTATTATGAAGGCAAAGCTTCCAGGTTTTAATTTATTAGGATTTTTAATTTGATGACTAACACTGAGAATATATATATATATATATGTGTGTGTGTGTGTGTGTGTGTGTGTGTGTGTGTGTCGCAATCATGTTGTACATTTCAGAAGTTCCACGCTCCGCTCACACTACATGCGTACCGAGCCCAAGTGAACCGCGCTCTGGGCCACCTCTTCCAACCGAGCCAGGGCCGGCTAAACGAACCGCTGCACGGAGCGATCACACTAGTCAAACGAACCGGGCTTTGGGGGTCAGACGCGCTCGGGCATGGTTAAGATTGCTTAGTGTGATACACCCTTATTCTCCCGCATCCCGCACACACGAGTGTCTACCCGCCCGCACCCGCACTCACCCGTCTAGTGTTGTCCCGCGCCGCACTCTGCTGCGTTAGATCCCGTGATAGTGCAGGTCTCTACTCGGAAGGAGCCTGTTATAATGTTATGATCGAGGCTCTGGACTCTGAGCATAACTTGTTTTTCTATAACAAACTATAAAATATTTTCTATAAAAACGTTAATGCCCTGGCAGTGGCAAATAGCTTTGGTTTTATATTTAATTTGATTACATTAATGTTATAAGTTGAGATTTACAATACATATTTTAACTGCTACTATGTAAAAGGAATACTGCTGTAAAAAAGCACATTATTTGTTTAAAGTGTTTGCAAACCAAATGTTATTACACTTTTGTTCATATAGCAGTACTTTTAAATGAAAAAGTGCACAATACACTACTTTTGAATTCATTATAGAATTAATTGAATTTTTTTTCCCAAGGACACATTCAATTGATAAAACATGACAGTAAAGACATTGATTGTGTTGAAAAATATTTTTATTTCAAGTAGATGCTGTTCTTTTGAACTTTGTATTCATCAAAGTATCTTTAAAAAAATTTAACATGGTTTCCACAAAAAATATTAAGCAGCACCAGTTTTTCACCACTGATAATAATAAGAAATGTTTTTAGAGCACCAGCATATTAGAATTTCTTAAGGATCATTTGACAATGAAGACTGGAGTAATTGCTGAAATTCAGCTTTGTCATCACAGGTATTAATTACATTTTAAAATATATTAAAACACTTAATGTTAGAAAAAAAAACACAAATTTTGGGTCAGTGGGTATATATGTGACCCTGGACCACAAAACCAGTCTTAAGTTGCACGGGGATATTTGTAGCAATAGCCAAAAAATACATTGTATGGGTCAAAATGATTTTTCTTTTATGCCAAAAATCATTAGGATATTAAGTAAAGATCATGTTCATGCCACTGTAAATTTCCTACTATAAATATATCAAAACTTAATTTTTGATTAGTAATATGCATTGCTAAGGACTTCATTTGAACAACTTTAAAGACGATTTTCTCAATATTTAGATTTTTTGCACCCTCAGATTCCAGATATTCAAATAGTTGTATATTGTCCTATCCTAACAAACCATACATCAATGGAAAGCTTATTTATTCAGCTTTCAAATGATGTATAGATCTCATGTGGTCCAGGGTCACATATTAAGAGCCAGGCCATATTTTATTCTGTGGTGTAATTGACATCACCTGAACTGTATGGCGCTAAATAGGCTTCTAGCAGCTGAAGAGACTTTTTCCATGGGCGGACAGACAGATCGCAGCAGAAGTGAGAGGTGGTGGGTGAACCATTGAAGGAAAATATTACCCACTATATCACAACTCTTTTTCAATAAGAGCCACAGTCAGGCAGAACGGAATCACATGTAATCCCATGAAACTGTTGCAAATGAGTGAATGACTATGTGCCAGGACGCCACACTTGTTCTGACTTATAATTTTTTGGACTGATAATTTCATTTTTGTGGTCTTTTATATACACACATTTCATATATACAATCATCTGATATGTCCTGAAGGCAGCATTACACCTGTCAGCCATAAACATCACTGTACCCGCTGTTGAACTGTTAGGTGATATTCTCTCTCTTCTTTCTTTCTCACCTTTTCTTGTTAGCTTCTCACTTTCTCTTTTACACCCTACCCTGCAAACACACACACTCTCTCTGTATCTATCAGAGCTTTATTTAAGTGCGGTGGTCTGGTAATACTGAGCAGATGAATGGCTGACAGACTTTTATTTATCTAGCTTTACTCATTCATCCGTGTCACTGGATGCTGACGGGCCCTGCATTGCCTGTAATGTTCTGTAAGCTGCAGTTGATCCATCACTGTCATTGTCTCTCGCAGGATGGGAAGACAGCAGAGGATCTCGCGATTGCAGAGCAGCAGGAGCATGTAGCAGTGCTGCTGGCCAAGCTGAAAAAGGTGTGAGTCTTTGTTTATTATTCATCTCACTGAGACTCAAGAGACATTAATTTGCATTACATGAATGCTTTGTGAAGGCTTATGAGATCCTTGTTGTATTTTATATGACACCTGCAAGACATGACAGTTTTACTCAATAACGACTCTTATCCCACTGAGATGTATGCTGATTTTGATCTTTTTTAAATAAATATTTGACTTTCAGAACATATTTTAACCCATTGGTCTGCTATTAGTGATTCCGGGTAACCCCCACTGGTCCAAAATCCAACTCCATGTAGATATCAAAGTTTGTAAGATGTCGTGAAAGCCACATGTGAAAATGAATGGGAAGATACTTTCAGAACTAAAAGGGGATAGGCATTGTTGCACTGTATTTTATGTTTTTTTTTTTTGACGGTCACATACATGATTTAATATATGGCATTTAGCATCTTGCATTTTGTTTCAAAAAGTGGATTATGCTCAGTTGGAGGACTCTGAATACTAGCTGAGCCTATTAATTACACTCATTAGGATGCACTGAGCATTCTCAGACACATTAACATTATGTCATTGGTCCATATGTCATATTGTAATGCCACTGGATTGTGTTAATTTGCATACTCTTTGTGACTGGTCTGTATATTGTCCTATCCTAACAAACCATACATCAATGGAAAGCTTATTTATTCAGCTTTCAAATGATGTATAGATCTCATGTGGTCCAGGGTCACATATTAAGAGCCAGGCCATATTTTATTCTGTGGTGTAATTGACATCACCTGAACTGTATGGCGCTAAATAGGCTTCTAGCAGCTGAAGAGACTTTTTCCATGGGCGGACAGACAGATCGCAGCAGAAGTGAGAGGTGGTGGGTGAACCATTGAAGGAAAATATTACCCACTATATCACAACTCTTTTTCAATAAGAGCCACAGTCAGGCAGAACGGAATCACATGTAATCCCATGAAACTGTTGCAAATGAGTGAATGACTATGTGCCAGGACGCCACACTTGTTCTGACTTATAATTTTTTGGACTGATAATTTCATTTTTGTGGTCTTTTATATACACACATTTCATATATACAATCATCTGATATGTCCTGAAGGCAGCATTACACCTGTCAGCCATAAACATCACTGTACCCGCTGTTGAACTGTTAGGTGATATTCTCTCTCTTCTTTCTTTCTCACCTTTTCTTGTTAGCTTCTCACTTTCTCTTTTACACCCTACCCTGCAAACACACACACTCTCTCTGTATCTATCAGAGCTTTATTTAAGTGCGGTGGTCTGGTAATACTGAGCAGATGAATGGCTGACAGACTTTTATTTATCTAGCTTTACTCATTCATCCGTGTCACTGGATGCTGACGGGCCCTGCATTGCCTGTAATGTTCTGTAAGCTGCAGTTGATCCATCACTGTCATTGTCTCTCGCAGGATGGGAAGACAGCAGAGGATCTCGCGATTGCAGAGCAGCAGGAGCATGTAGCAGTGCTGCTGGCCAAGCTGAAAAAGGTGTGAGTCTTTGTTTATTATTCATCTCACTGAGACTCAAGAGACATTAATTTGCATTACATGAATGCTTTGTGAAGGCTTATGAGATCCTTGTTGTATTTTATATGACACCTGCAAGACATGACAGTTTTACTCAATAACGACTCTTATCCCACTGAGATGTATGCTGATTTTGATCTTTTTTAAATAAATATTTGACTTTCAGAACATATTTTAACCCATTGGTCTGCTATTAGTGATTCCGGGTAACCCCCACTGGTCCAAAATCCAACTCCATGTAGATATCAAAGTTTGTAAGATGTCGTGAAAGCCACATGTGAAAATGAATGGGAAGATACTTTCAGAACTAAAAGGGGATAGGCATTGTTGCACTGTATTTTATGTTGTTTTTTTTTGACGGTCACATACATGATTTAATATATGGCATTTAGCATCTTGCATTTTGTTTCAAAAAGTGGATTATGCTCAGTTGGAGGACTCTGAATACTAGCTGAGCCTATTAATTACACTCATTAGGATGCACTGAGCATTCTCAGACACATTAACATTATGTCATTGGTCCATATGTCATATTGTAATGCCACTGGATTGTGTTAATTTGCATACTCTTTGTGACTGGTCTTACAGGACAACCATAAGAGCATTTACATCCAGCAGCTGCGGCCTACACAGACCCTCCAACCTCGCATCAAACTCAAGCTGTTTGGCCACTCGGGAGCAGGGAAGAGCACTCTGGTGGAGTCTTTGAAGTGTGGCATCTTGCGGAGTTTCTTCAGGAGGAGGAGGACCAGGTTGACCAACCCTGTCCGGCACCCAGCCTCACCTGTCACCTCCAAACCTGCAGGTAGGGTGATGTGTTTTCCTTCTTCATCTATAGAAAAGCTGAAAATTAAAGGAATTGTTCTTTTCAAGATGTAGATGAGTTTGTTTCTTCATCAGAATGTATTTGGAGAAATTTAGTATTCCATTACTTGCTCACCAATCGATCCTCTGCAGTGAATGGGTGCCGTCAGAATGAGACCCCAGACTGCTGATACAAAAAAAAATATATAGTAATCTACAATGCGGTTCCAGTCCATCAATTAACATCTTATGAAGTGAAAAGCTGCACGTTTGTAAGAAACAAATCCATCAAGACATTTTACCTTTAAATCGTCATTTCTGACCGATATAATAATGCTTTCTCCAGTGGAAAAAGTCCATCCCCTGTTGTCCTCTCACATCAAAATCCACCAACATATTTGGACTGTTTTCACTTGTAAATAATGCTTGAGCTATGCATATTTCTCTCCTGAATCAACCAAGATGACTTGTTCATTGGAGAAAGCAATGGTTTTTAAGTTAAAAACTGTTTTAAGTTAAAAATGTGTTGATGGATTTGTTTATGACAATCATGCAGCTTTTGACTTCAAGATGTTAATTGATGGATGGGAGTCGTGTGGATTATTGTGATGTTTTTATCAACTGTTTGGACTCTCATTCTGACGGCACCCATTCACTGCAGAGGATCCATTGGTGAGCAAGTGATGTAATTCAAAATTTCTCCAAATCTGTTGCGGTGAAGAAACAAATCTTGGATGGCCTGAGGGTGAGGACATTTTCATTTTGGGTGATCTATTCCTTTAAGCTTAGAAACTTGGAGTATAGAGCTTTTTCTGGTCCAACTTTGTTCACTTTCCTCACTCATTCCCAGATTAACGCACACGTCATAGTGCTATCCTTGGAAGGCGCAATCACATCAATGTAATGCATTACACATGAAGCTAACTTTTTTACTGCCACAGCCAAATTGAGGAAGTCGTCTTTAGGTTTCTATGAGAAAAGTTTTTAGAAAGAACCAAAGTTCAGTGGAAAGCGTTGATTGTGCGAGACATATGCAGCACAGTGTGACTAACACGTTTGCAAGGTATAAAAAAGAGTTTGAGTCATCTGACTCTCATGTTATTTCTCCAACTAAAATGGCTGTTAGCACTTCTGTGGTTTTTTCAGGAATTTTGTTTTTCCCAGCTGAGCTATTTTAATTATGTATATATGGGGTGATACTGGCTCATCTCTTGTGGAGTTTTTTAACGTACAATCTTTGTCCATTACCAGTCCATATCTTTATCCACAAGGATACATGTAATCTCAAAATATATATCAGAAAAAGGGAACCTTTACTAAATATTTATTTTTCTGTCAACACTGGAAAAGCTGGAATCAGGCCTTTAGGAAAGAGCTCCCCCATGTGGTGGGTTTCCACATTTTAAGAATATTTCATGACATTTTATAATAATGTACATCATTTATCCTTTAGCTACAAACATATCCTTATTGTATATATTGTTATCTATTATACGAAGTCAGTTCCATCTAGTTTACAGTCTGTCTTTCTTTTTGCTTCCCTGTTTGTGTGTTGTGTGCCTGTAGTGTCTGTCAGCATCTCTAACCTGTACCCAGGCTGTGAGAATGTCAGTGTGCGTAGCCGCAGTATGATGTTTGAGCCCAGTTTGACTAAAGGAGTGCTGGAGGTCTTTAGTCCTGTCCATAACGCTCTCTCCACGGCTGACGACACCGCCACCAAAGCCATCGACATCCAGAACGCCAATGTCAATGGTAAAAGCCGTTTATGATAAATATTAAATAAGTCTCACCAAGACTGCATTTGTTTGATCAAAAATACATTAAAATAGTAATATTGTGCAATGTTAATATCATTTGATTTGTATTTTAAAATGTAATGTATTCATGTGAAGGCAAAGCTGAATTTTCAGTAGCCATTATTTTAGTCTTCAGTGTCACATGATCTTTTAGAAATCATTCCAATATTCTTTTTTGTGCTCAAGAAACATTTATTATTATCAATGTTAAAAACAGATGTGCTGCGTCATATTTTTGTGGAAACTGATACTTTTTTATGTATAGAAAGATCAAAGGAACAGCATTGTTTTGAAATAGAAATGTCTTGTAACATTATAAATGCCTTTACTGTCACTTTTGATCTATTTAATGCATTTTTGCTGAGTAAAAAAATCTTTCTTTGCCAAACTTTTGAATGATATTGTTAATATGTTTTAGGTGTTGGAGACTTCAGTATATGGGAGTTCTCCGGTAACCCCGTCTACTACTGCTCATATGACTACTTTGCTGCGAATGACACCACAGCCATTCATCTGGTCTTATTCAGCCTGGAGGAGCCTTACGAGACTCAACTGAACCAGGTCACATTTTGGCTCAACTGCCTGAAGGCTCTCACGCTGCCAGAGGACAACATCGGTATGTGCAAGCGTTAAATATCGCATGCGATTTATCGTGCAGCCCTAGTTACTATATAGTTATTTTGTTTTATTTATTATTATTTATTTATTTTATTATTTTGTTATATTATTTTCTTTTTTAATCTCAAAAATATATATCAGAAAAAGGGATATTTATTTTTCTATTTAAATATTAATGTTCTATTAATATTTAAACCAATAACCAACTGTACAATGTAGTTACCCATAGCCTTGTTGCTTTGAAAGTAGGGCTGTCAATTGATTGACACATTTTTAAATGCATTAATTACACATTATCGTGTTATTGTGGCAAATGAGTAAAGCATTAAATAGACATGACATAAAGTCTGGCTGTAGAAGTCAATATATTATTTGTTTTATTTCCATGTCATTCAATACAAGTCTATAATTGGCAAACATTTTATTTTTTTTTTTTTACCATTGAGTTTGTCAGTCTATCCGAGGCCTGTTCACACAGAATGCATTATCACATTCCTTTTGTGCTATTTATGCTTGGTGTTTCTGTGTACATATACGCTAGATGGATGTTTTTGGCTACTGCGTCATGTCTTGCTGTTTTCACACCATGAGCACCATATATTTATGTTAAAAGCAGTTCTACTTTTGAAAGCGTACTTTTCTTGAGACCCTTTGCATTCCCCATGCGCTAACTGTGTTACTGTTTTTGAAAATTTTTTAAATAATGTTAAATATTTTTAACACGTTATTTTTTATATTCATTATTTGTTTTGAATGAACAAGTTATATTGACAGTCATATGATAGAAATGAGCTCATGCGAGCAGTTTTGTTCTCTGTGTATCACTGTTTCACTGTTCTCCATTCTGTGTGCTTCATTAATGCTGTTTGTAGTTTTCTCATTCTTGTCTCTCTCAAACTCTCTCGGTAATTTCAGCCTGGCTTGCCTTTGCTTTCACTGTAGTGATGGTTGATGAATTTGTGTAAGTGTGTGTGTGTCTCCTGAGACTACAGTGTACAATGTATGGATTTCTTCTCGTCCTTTCTAGAGCGCTTTCCATTACAGTAATTACAGGGATCAGCTGAAGCTGTGAAGTCTGTGATTAAGAGGTCTAAGGAGCAGTTATACAGTTTTTCTCAAGTGAAATTAATCTTTTTTTACTTGGTTACTATTAGGGCTGCACGATAAATCGCATGCGATGTTTAATGCGCATCTTATCAGTAAAGCCGGTTCTGTAATCAGCGGTAAATCTCCATCACCTGCGGGCTTTCACATTGAGCAGCATTAACTACACAGAGCCGTTGTTCACTGACGCCAAAAGAGACTTCATTAGAGTTGGTGCATCAGTCTTAATCTAGGAATCTAGTTTTTGCTCTATGGTTCTCAGATATTTTTGAGTTTTTGAGTTTATTTGATTGTTGAGATTATGCATAATGATCAAAGATGTTAAGAATAGACCATAAAACTGCCTCCCTGTTGTATCCACAGCCTTTGGAGGGAAGATAAGGATTTTGAGTTTATTTGATTGTTGAGATTATGCATAATGATCAAAGATGTTAAGAATAGACCATAAAACTGCCTCTCTGTTGTATCCACAGCCTTTGGAGGGAAGATAAGGAATCCACTGCGTGTGGTCCTGGTGGCCACACATGCTGACATTGTGAATCTGCCCCGATCGTTTGGGGGAGAGTTCAGCTATGACAAGGAGAGATCTCTAATTAAAGAAGTCAGAAGCAGGTGATTAAATCAGTATAAAATGTCAGTTTGAAGCTATGAGACCTATAAGTACATTAAGTGATCATTTTTGAAGGACTGACTAGATCAGGTGTGCCCAAACTCGGTCCTGGAGGGCCGGTGTCCTGCAGAGTTTAGCTTCAGCTTGCCTCAACACCTGCCGGGAAGTTTCTAGTATGCCTAGTAAGACCTTGATTAGCTGCTTCAGGTGTGGTTGATTAGCGTTGGAGCTAAACTCTGCAGGACACCGGCCCTCCAGGACCGAGTTTGGGCACCCCTGGACTAGATCATAGTGATTAAAGTGATTTGATGGATGAGCCAAACTATTAAACTGATAATAATGCATTTTTTCCCTCTCAGGTTTGGGAATGATCTGCATATTGCAGAGAAGCTCTTTGTCATGGATGCAGGAGCGTCCAACTCCAAAGACATAAAGCTGCTGAGAAACCTTCTGTTAGAGCTCCGCAACACCATCATCTTTGTAAGATCGGTCTCCATTCTACTACACCTCCCAGCACTTTGTCATTTCAGTTACCTAAATGTAGCATTAAAGGGATAGTTCACCCAAAAATGAAAATTCTGTCATTAATTACTCACCCTCATGTCGTTCCAGACCCGTAAGACCTTTGTTCATCTTCGGAACATAAATTAAGATATTTTTGATGAAATCTAAGAGCTTTCTGACCCTGCATAGACTTAGACAGCATGGGAACTACCACCTTCAAGGCCAAGAGAGGTCGTTAGGACATTGTTAAAATAGTCCATGTGACATCAGTGGTTCAACCTTAATGTTATGAAGCTACGAGAATACTTTGTGTGCAAAGAAAACAAAAATAATGACTTTATTCCACAATTTCTTCTCTTCCCTGTCAGTCTTCGCCGTGCGTTCACGAGAGTTCCACAGCGCATGCGTGTGGTGCTGCTGACGCAGGAGCCAACATTCTGATGTACAACCCAAATGCGCTGTGCCTTGTTTGCAAGCAGAGGAATGCACACGCATGCGTCATATTACTCTCGTGAACACTTCAAAGACTTACGCGGAAGACAAGAAATCGTTGAATAAAGTCGTTATTTTTGTTTTCTTTGCGCACAGAAGTATTCTTGTAGCTTAATAAAATTACGGTTGAACCACTGATGTCACATGGGCTATTTTAACAATGTCCTCACTTCCTTTCTTGAACGTGTCAGTTGCGCTGCTGTCTATGGAGGGCCAGAAAGCTCTCGGATTTCATCAAAAATATCTTAATTTGTGTTCCGAAGATGAATAAAGGTCTCAGCGGTTTGGAACGACATGAAGGTGAGTAATTAATGACAGAATTTTCATTTTTGGGTGAACTATCCCTTTAAATTACTGGAAACACTCACTTTGTTGATTCTGATCTGGGTCTGATCTCTATAATAAAGCTCTTTTCTTTTCTTTACCATGCACACACATACACACACACACACACACAGAAATACACAATATCAAACACTGACACTCAGATACCTCGCTAATCCATTCTGCTCGTTCTCCTACTTCTCTCTTTCTGTCTCTCTCACTCCTACACATACCTGTACAGATTACTTTCTCATCTTTCTCATATATTGCGTCTGGATTTTTGTGTATATTATGAAGGAAAAAGAAGTAATTACTATAGTTTTTAAATACGTAATTTATATAGTGCAATATCTTTGAGGTGTTAAAGGAGACTTTCATTTATCAGTGGTGATTTCTACTATTGCTCCTACTTTCAGTTAATGGGGGAAAATTTAGACCATATTTGGGGGTCTGTTCTTTTGACTTGGGCTAGAAAATAATTACCTAGCAACAACTTAGCGACCCCATTGGCATTTTTTCCAGAGATGTAAAATTGCTTTTCTCTCTGTCATTTTCACAGACCTGCAGGCCGATGACTCAGCTGGCAGAGAAGCTGTTGTCCACTCTGCCTTCCTGGCGGAAACTGAACGGGCCAAACCAGCTGATGTCATGGCAACAGTTTGTTGTGGATGTGCAAGAACAAATCAACCCTCTAGCCAGTGAAGAGGATCTGCGGGAACTGGCTTCACAACTTCACAGCATGGGAGAGGTGTGTGTGTGTATGTGTGGGCGGCCCAGTGAATGTGTGAGAGAGTGTGTGTGTGTGTGTGTGTGTGATGATGAGCAGATGAATAAATAAATATGTATGAATGTTTGAATTATGGTTATATTGCTGTGGGTATAGCATAAGTGTGTTTGAAGTAGATGCTCTGTATCATTAATTAAAATGATTGTTTTCATACATTATGCTATACTATCGTACACGCCCCGCTATTAATGCCACATCCATGACTTCCAAACCACTCAAAGTATACAATGCAGAACATCTACAAACATGTTTTTATGTGGATTCAAATGAGTTGGTGGGTGTCAGCAACTAAATAGGGGCCTTTGCAGTCTATTGACCACCCACAACCATTACAACAACAGCTTCACCGATAGAGAGAGCAGGTGAATGAGTCATTCTCATCAATATTAGTAATTTGTGTTTTTAGCAGCAACACTTAAACACATTTTAGGGAATGTTTTGATGTTGATGGGCTGAAATGCCAAGCTGTGATTCAGCTTTATTAACATTTGCTTACATAAGATACTCTGTTTAAGGGGCTTCAGCTCCCCTGTGTTTAACCTCAGCCCTTTTAAAATCCATTATGTCATGTCTCTTCAAAGAATAATTCACACAAAAATAACAGTTCACATCAGCCTGTATGACTGATTTGTGTGAATCAAAATGAAAAATGTTGAAGAATGGACTGAAAGTGCATGAGAATCTGGGCTGCCAAGCTCCAAAATGACAGAAGATCACTGTATAAATCATATGTTTCATAAATGTGTTTGCTGTATTCCAAGTCTTCTGAATTTATAAAATAGCTCCGATGAAAAATGTTGAAGAATGGACTGAAAGTGGATGAGAATCTGGGCTGCCAAGCTCCAAAATGACAGAAGATCACTGTATAATATTGTATTGTTTCATAAATGTGTTTGCTGTATTCCAAGTCTTCTGAATTTATAAAATAGCTCCGAATAATGAACTGACCCAAATTCAAGCCATTTCAAGTGTGCCCCCATAACTACTGATTTACTGACATCTACCGATGATTTTATTCACATTTATTTGAAAAAGAATAAGTGAGTTGAGCCCCAAAAGTGACACATCTGCTGAACTGTTATGGTCTGTTCACACCAACTCAAATATTCAAGATGAACTTTCGGTCTGATTTTCACATACGATATGCCTATTCAGGCCAAAGTGTATTCAGATTTTGTATTCACTATGGTTGTTATCACAGTAGAGAGACTAGAGAACCTGTTCCCGATTCTTCCTCTGTTATTCACTGGTGCTTTGCAAAATAATCTGTTAGTGCCACCATGTTGTAATTTTATGTAACAACAGCAGCTCTAGGGATGTGATCAAAAGCATGAATCGTATTGGTTGGCCAGTTTTCTTGTTAGTATTATGGAAAAAGGTTTAGAACACCGTTTTAGAATTTTCGTGACCGTCTGAACAGATGCATTAACAGCCATTCAAATTAGATCTCAACAAATATTTGTCTTGGTGTCTTTGGAATCTTGCAATCACCCATTTGCTTGTACTCAATCCTTTTCTGTCTTCTAGATTAACATCATGCAGAGTGAGACTGTCCAGGACGTTGTCCTGTTAGATCCTCGCTGGCTTTGTGGTAACGTTCTCGGCAAGCTTCTCTCAATCGAAACCCCCAAAGCAATCCACCACTACCGTGGCCGCTACCGCGTGGAAGAACTCCAAAACCTTGTCTCCGAAGGTGACATCGATGAACTTCTCCAGGTGCTCGATGCCATGGATGTATGTGCCCGCGACTTAGCCAACCCCGGAATGGTCGACATTCCCGCCCTCATACGCACGGGTGGCCTACAGCACACCTGGACCGACGAGGAAGACATCGAAGGCGAGGACACTTTGCTTTACGGTGGTGTGCGAGTTGTCCCTGCGGAACACTTGGCGCCGTTCCCTTGTGGACTTTTCCATAAGTTGCAAGTGAACTTGTGCAGGTGGAGCCGGCAGCAGAAGCCAGAGGTCGAGGCTGAGGATGTGAGGTTGTGGAGCAGTGGAGCTCGGGTTGGACTCGGCGGCACTGAGGCACTGGTTCTGCTTGTGAACCATGGGCAGGGCATGGAGGTACAGTTACGAGGACCTGACTCTGATCCCGGCCGTTGCTATGCTTTATTGGACACGTTGTGCGGCATGGCAGAGGGTCTGTTAGCTGCTACGTTACCCGGTTTGCTTACCGCCCGGCATTATCTTAGCCCTCAGCAGCTGCGTGAACACCATGGCCCTGTCATGCTCTACCAACCGAGAGACTTTTTCCGCGCTCAGGCGCGAGGCGAGAACGCGCTTTCGAACACCATGGGCGGCTATCGTGAGAGCTTTGTCAGTATCGTAGCATTAGGTTGCACCCAGGTCTACAAACAGGGCAGTCTTGGTGGGGAAGTGCCCGTGGCAGAGGTCAGTCACCTGGCTCGACGCAAGCTCTGTCGCCTGCTGGACCCTCCCGATGCCCTTGGGAAGGACTGGTGCCTGCTTGCCATGAACTTGGGCCTCAGCGAGCTCGCTGCTAAATACAGTTCTGGCACCAACGGGACTCCGCCTGCAGACCCCCTTTCCCTTCCCAGTCCCACGGCCACGCTCCTGCAGGAGTGGAGCCAGCGACCCGTTTCAACCATAGGCATTTTGCTCGCTAAGTTGCGAGAACTCGGTCGTCGGGATGCAGCAGATTTCCTCCTTAGAGCTGCACCCGTGTTCCGGGTCAACTTGGAAATACTGGGCACCCCGCCGGAGCCCTACAGCCCGGTGTGTAATGGGGGCGGCACATCCTTCAACTCCATCAGTTCCGTGATCTCTCGTTAGGACGTCACTTGTGTCTATAGAGAAACGTGCAATTGACCGGTGGAGCGGTGTTCAATCTCAAGCTCCCTGGTGTCCTGAGACGGAAGTATTTGAATCAGATACTCTGCTCATGTCCATTTTGTTGCCCTTCGCGATTTCTGAATGTTCATTCTTGGTGTCTTTGAAAAGATGCCTCTGTGCTTTTTTTTCTGCAAATCTTTTATTGACCGTCTCACATTCCCAAGGTGAAACTGCAGGCGGCCTTTTTTTAAACATCCTTACTGAAAGAAAGTTCTATTACTTCTATAAATTCGGACAGCTGTGTCCATTTTGTTGCCCTTCGCGATTTCTGAATCTGATTTCATTCTTGGTGTCTTTGAAAAGATGCCTATGTGCTTTTTTTTTTCTGCAAATCTTTTATTGACCGTCTCACATTCCCAAGGTGAAACTGCAGGCGGCCTTTTTTTAAACATCCTTACTGAAAGAAAGTTCTATTACTTCTATAAATTCGGACAGCTGTTATTAGGGAATTGCGCTAAATTTGATGACCGAATGATAGATCACTAAGTGCTTGGCAGCATTATTTAATACACGACTCAAGCTATTGAGTGCCTTGAAGATAGTAAGCTGTTGACAAAGAGCCATTGCTATAGATTTCAAAATTGGATGTGCACCTCTGCAAGTGTTTCGGTGTTTACCTGTCTTCTGAAGCTTTTAATGAACATATCTATTAGATTTACACTTTTTCTCAAACATACAAAATTGGGTCACTTGCATTTACTACCTGATTGTTCCTTATTGCAACTAAAACGCATCATTTTTCAGACAGGATTTTATTCAAATGATGAAGCACAAACAAACATACTAAACATTCCTTTAAAAACCGAAATGCATGGTAAACTGTTTTTAAGTCTGGTTTCTAAAATCCCTCACATTTGTCTTATTCACACTTATAGCCTACTTGTCACTTTCACTTTTGTGAAATATTACGGTTCTGACTACCTGTCAAATGGAAATGATGAAATATTCCAGGCACTTACGTGACAAGTAAGATTTTGTTTTTCTTCATGTCTGCCACAGTGTCCTGATAAGCATGATCTTTGTTACAATTGTTCAGCTTATTTTAATATATTCTGTTTCACACATTTACACTGTTGTTGAGTGTTTAAGTCATGTGTATTCTTGACACTGGAGAATTAATCATAAAATGCTATTCTAATGGACTTTCTCTCTGTTCTTTTAAAAAAAATCTTTTTTACAGTGTTGTTCATGCAATATTTTGCCATCTACATTTCGAGATTTTCGAGATAAAAGATTTTTAGCACAGTAATAATAATAATTAATGAAGTGCCTTTTCCAAGATCAGTGTTGCTGTACAAAGAAAATATCAGCCTATGGAACGACGTTAGTTACAGATATTCACAAATGTACAAACAAACAACGAAAAATAATAAATACATAAACACTAAAGAGCAGTGAGCTGAAAAAAACAAGTTTTTAGTTGAGATTTGAAAGAAGAGGTGATGGAGATTTCAGCATATATTACCTTACAAAATGTTAGATTCTTTGGTCTAAATTATGTAATTTGTAACTTAATCTGTCCTAATAATAGCCTATTGTAAAGTTTTCTCAAAAATGTCAAAGTGCCCTCCGGTGAATTCTGGGTAAAGTTGCCTCCAATTCAACCGTGAGAAGCAGAGCCCGCTAAAATGAATCGAAAATGACAATGATGGCATTTCTGTTTACGTGACAAGTAAGATTTTGTTTTTCTTCATGTCTGCCGCAGTGTCCTGATAAGCATGATCTTTGTTACAATTGTTCAGCTTATTTTAATATATTCTGTTTCACACATTTACACTGTTGTTGAGTGTTTAAGTCATGTGTATTCTTGACACTGGATAATTAATCATAAAATGCTATTCTAAGGGACTTAAATTGGGCAAAAGTGTCATAAAATATGTTGACATTTGCATTGAAACTGTTAAAAGCAATGCCATTCCTCAGTTACAGGAAAACCATTGTACTGAATGTGGTATATTGGACACAAATGAAGTGACAACTTGAAAACTGTAGATGGCAGCAAAGACTCTGTTACATCTAACACATGCTATAACTCTTTTTGCTCTCCTTCTTATGAGGCAGTTGCAGTTTCATCATCATTTGTAATGTCTGAAAGTCCAGACAACTGTTCCACATTATATTTTGGGACAGGTCTATCCTCCAACCTTTCATCATTTCCCTTGCAGGCTTGAATCACAAACGTTTCTAAAAGGGAATTGGGCATATTGTGTTCTCTCATTCCAAAAGGCACATTTTTATATTGTGATTAAGTCTATGTATTATGGAGCTCTTTCGCTGTTTAGCTGTGGTCAAGGTTCATGATTTTCCCTCTTAAGACTTTAACAGGGTACATCAGAGAGGAGTTTATCCTGGTGTATTTAAGACTTGTACAGTCATCTCTTTGCACAAGACCTTCACATTATTGCTGTATTTATATTATGTTCGCATGTCTCTGAATGCCATGTCCTTAATACTTCCTCAAACTTTACAGTGTACTACATTTTTTATAATAAATTGTTTACTCAATGATTCTCTCTGTTCTTTTAAAAAAAATCATTTTTACAGTGTTGTTCATGCAATATTTTGCCATCTACATTTCGAGATTTTCGAGAAAGATTTTTAGCACAGTAATAATAATAATTAATGAAGTGCCTTTTCCAAGATCAGTGTTGCTGTACAAAGAAAATATCAGCCTATGGAACGACGTTAGTTACAGATATTCACAAATGTACAAACAAACAACGAAAAATAATAAATACATAAACACTAAAGAGCAGTGAGCTGAAAAAAACAAGTTTTTAGTTGAGATTTGAAAGAAGAGGTGATGGAGATTTCAGCATATATTACCTTACAAAATGTTAGATTCTTTGGTCTAAATTATGTAATTTGTAACTTAATCTGTCCTAATAATAGCCTATTGTAAAGTTTTCTCAAAAATGTCAAAGTGCCCTCCGGTGAATTCTGGGTAAAGTTGACTCCAATTCAGCCGTGAGAAGCAGAGCCCGCTAAAATGAATCGAAAATGACAATGATGGCATTTCTGTGGATGAATAATTAGTCATGTGCTGTTTTTTTGAAGCGTCAGTGTGTGGCATGACTGAACATGCATTATTCAGCAAATGGAATTACCGCACCTTTATTTCAACATGACATATAGAAGCTTTCCTGTTCTGTTCTTTTTATAAAGCTCTGTTTATGAAATGGTTTACTTTACTTGTGGTTTTAAAATATGCTAACTTACTATTTAGTTACAATGTAATACTGAATGCATATATGCTAATCAGAATTTTCAGAGTCATGAATGCTCACGCTTGATCAATTGTACTTTTTTTAACTGCTTCTTTTTGATCATTGTTGGAAGTGCTGGGCTGATAGGCTTAAGTGATAATTGAGCAATCTTCCCATCTATAGCTTCTGTGTGCTTCTTGTGACAGACGAGCCCATTAATCAGTCTAGTTTTCCCCTTTGTTTGTATGTAGATTCAACAGCACTCTAATTCTGGCCTGCCACAAATCTTAACAGTGAACGTAAACAATGTGGAATGTTGTTAACCTGCACTGACGTCCTCACATAGACATACTGATAACAGATTCAATATACACTGGTTTTGGTGGTCTGTTGAAGTGTGAGCCGGGTCATGCAAGTTCACTGCATTCACATTGTTTATGACTTGTGTTCCTTGTGAATATGTGATAGAGACCCTTTTGTTTTATAATCTTGTGATTTAGTATATATTAGCATTTTAAATTTACTTATTTTAAATATGATTAAATCTAACATTCAATCAATTGCAATGTGTTTCTAGTTGTGTGAAGAGCTTGTATTTGAACACTGAGGAAGGCATAAGCACTACTGGCTAGTTAATAACCGGTATAATAACTGAAATGCCTATGATTTTCGTATGGGGGTGATTCTATAATTGGAGATACATTTGGCATTTCATAAAGTTAAGAAAAAAAACTGTTCACTAACAGAAATTCTTTCCAGTATCTTATTGAAAACATATTCAATTTTAATAATTCAGTGCTTGCCAACCACAAGTTACTTCTTTTTTTTTTTTACGTTTAATGATGTCTTTATGGTATTGTTTGTCAACTCTGTTACGGACAAATTAGGCAATGTGTAGAAATAGTAATAAATCATAAAAGGAAAAATCCTTCTTGTATCATTGGACAAACAGTCCTTACATTCCAACATTTGGAACTGAGATAATATTTCACCAATGCATACCTTAAAAATAAAAATAAAAATACCTGTCTTCACAGAATTGTCCGCTTGGAGCAAATATTTTTCATCTAAAAATGTATTATATACAATATCCAGTAAAAAAAAAAAAAGAGAAATGTTGAAATATGATAAGAGTGCATCATATCTCAATAATGTTTATGAGATTTT